ATATTGAATTTTTGCTATCTAATACTACCACCCATATTCAACCTTGTGATCAAGGGATAATTCATTCATTTAAATGCTTTTATAAAAAAAGTTTTATCAATAATAGAATTGAAGCATATGATTCTATTCATGATAAGCCAGATAAAAGTCAATCAGCTTTTACAATTTGTAATGCAATTTATCTCACAGCTGATGCCTAGCAAAATATAACATCTAATACTATTGTAAACTGTTGGAAAAAGACTGGTATTCTTCCTATTAATGATGATAATAATAGTTTATCTATAGATTTTCAAAATATTGAAAATAAATAGCTTGATGAATTAAATAATTTGATTGCAGAACTCCCAATTGACAATCCATTTAATGCTAATAAGTTTGTACATCTGGATGATATTTTATCAATTGAAGAAATGCTAGACGATATGACTCTAATTGAACAAATTCATCGTAAACATAATGGTGATGATACTCAATCTGATAATGAAGATGAACCATTGTGTAAGATTTCTTTACAAGAAAGAACTCGTCTTATTAAGAGTTTGGTAGAATTTTTGTTGCAACAAAATGATAAATTTGGTATTTTAGCCAAAGAATTAGGAATAGTTAGTCATGTAAGTGAAATTATTAGATGCAAAGAGATGAATGCAAAATGTCAGATGTTAATAATGCAATTTTTCAATAAATAAATTTCACTAAAATGATTTTATTTTTATATTTTTATAAAATATCATTTTAAAATATTTAATTATACAATTATATTGAAAGCTAAATGTAGTCATTCTAGTATTGTCTATAATTACAAAATCGTGATTACAGAAATATTGATTGTTTTATTATAGATATTTAGAGTTACCTATATATGATTATTAAATAAAAGTATAATAAAATACTGGTAATGATTATTTTCGCTTAAATATTGTATAAAAAATTGCATTAAACTAGCACAATTATTTATTAGGTGAAAAAGTTTCAGCAAAGTAATTCTCTAGAGTTAGACTACATTTCTATATTGTAAATATTATGCCAATTTGCAGTACTTTACTTGACATTATAGTGGTTTGTTATAATAAGCAATTTTATACAAAAAAAAATGAAATTTATTAAATTTATAAAACAATTTTTCT